TAATAAGAGCAAACTAATTGAATATCATAATAAAGGTCACCAAGGATTTACGATATCTCTATTGCATAAGGAAAAATTAAAATTGCTGTCTCAACTATTCCAATGCTGGAAAGATATTCAAAGCATTTGCAGATCATTGTCAGATTTAGATGTTTGTTGATGTTTGAACTGGACACTCTTTTTTGGACAATACTTGTTTGGCCTCCACAGCTGGAAACTCAAAGTCCTTGGAGGTGATATTTAGATCTAAACACTCCTTCCTAAAATCTCAAGTTTCTGTTTTGTGGGCAGTTCTCTTCACCTTCTGGTCTGCTCATCTTGGACCTTCAATTTCATTCCATTTTAGGGCAAGGATAATGGAGATAGCTGGAGAAATACAGAAGTGTTAACATTCACAGTTGTGGTCACAGGTCTGGTCCATCACATCTGATAAACAGCTTCTTTATTCAGAAACACACTTGTCTATTTTCAGGTATGAAGACCACAAATATGTTTTAAACAATTTATCATTCTCATGGTTATTCTCTAAAGTGAAGAATTCAAAAAGAATTCAAACTAAATTTCAAAATGTATGCCAAAGCTGCTGTAGTGGAAAAAGTAATTAATTTACATTTGGGGTGGGGGGGGGGGAGGGGGGAATGGAAAATTGGAAATATTTCATTTTCAGTTTGCTTAATTTTACAACTCACTTTGAATACCCAGCAATTCTTACTTTCATGAATAACTCAGTTAGTCTTTTAGCTTTAGCTAGTCTGGAATACATACAGTTGCAAGAAAAAGTATGTGAACCCTTTGGAATGATATGGATTTCTGCACAAATTGGTCATAAAATGTGATCAGATCATCATCTAAGTCACAACAATAAACAATCACAGTCTGCTTAAACTAATAACACACAAAGAATGAAATGTTGCCATGTTTTTATTGAACACACCATGTAAACATTCACAGTGCAGGTGGAAAAAGTATGTGAACCCTTGGATTTAATAACTGGTTGAACCTCCTTTGGCAGCAATAACTTCAACCAAACGTTTCCTGTAGTTGCAGATCAGACGTGCACAACGGTCCGGAGTAATTCTTAACCATTCCTCTTTACAGAACTGTTTCAGTTCAGCAATATTCTTGGGATGTCTGGTGTGAATCGCTTTCTTGAGGTCATGCCACAGCATCTCAATTGGGTTGAGGTCAGGACTTTGATTGGGCCACTTCAGAAGGCGTATTTTCTTCTGTTTAAGCCATTCTGTTGTTGATTTACTTCTATGCTTTGGGTCATTGTCCTGTTGCAACACCTATCTTCTGTTGAGCTGGTAGACAGATGGCCTTAAGTTCTCCTGCAAAATGTCTTGATAAACTTGGGAATTCATTTTTCAGTCGATGATGGCAATCCGTCTAGGCCCTGATGCAGCAAAGCAGCCCCAAACCATGATGCCCCCACCACCATACTTCACAGTTGGGATGAGGTTTTGATGTTGGTGTGCTGTGCCTTTTTTTCGCCACTCATAGTGTTGTGTGTTTCTTCCAAACAACTCAACTTTGGTTTCATCTGTCCACAGAATATTTTGCCAGTACTGCTGTAGAACATCCAGGTGCTCTTGTGCAAACTGTAAATGTGCAGAAATGTTTTCTTTGGACAGCAGTGGCTTCCTCTGTGGTATGCTCCCATGAAATCCATTCTTGTTTAGTGTTTTACGTATTGTAGATTCGCTAACAGGGATGTTAGCATTTGTCAGTGACTTTTGTAAGACTTTAGCTGACACTCTAGGATTCTTCTTCACCTCATTGAGCAGTCTGCACTGTGCTCTTGCAGTCATCTTCACAGGACGGCCACTCGTAGGGAGAGTAGCTGCAGTGCCGAACTTTCTCCATTTATAGACAATTTGTCTTACCGTGGACTGATGAACAGCAAGGCTTTTGGAGATATTTTTATAACCAGCTTTAGGCAAGTCAACTATTTTTAATCGTAGGTCTTCTGAGAGCTCTTTTGTGTCAGGCATCATTCGCATCAGGCAATGCTTCTTGTGAAAAGCAAACCCAGAACTGGTGTGTGTTTTTCATAGGGCAGGGCAACTGTAACCAACACCTCCAATCTCATCTCATTAATTGGACTCCAGTTGGCTAACATCTCACTCCAATTAGCTCTTGGAGATGTCATTAATCTAGGGGTTCACATACGTTTTCCACCTGCACTGTGAATGTTTACATGGTGTGTTCAATAAAAACATGGCAACATTTCATTCTTTGTGTGTTATTAGTTTAAGCAGACCGTGATTGTCTATTGTTGTGACTTAGTTGAGGATCAGATCACATTTTATGACCAATTTGTGCAGAAATCCAGAGAATTCCAAAAGGGTTCACATACTTTTTCTTGCAACTGTATATAGCATGATAAATATACATCTTGGTGCTACTCCAAATGCTTTTCAGCGATATCCAATCACAAAGTAAACCAAAAAGACACTTTCACTTTCTCTGTCTGCATATTCTTGTAAACAATGACTCACTATTTTTTTCAGCTGCCTCCAGCAACTGTTTTTCTAAACGTCTTGAGCTAGAGTGTATTGGGGGATATATTAACTAACTGACAAAGACAAAATATGAAATAATAGGCCATTTCCTCTTGTCCAATGTATTATCTGTGACTGTGTGTCACTGCTATACAACAGCAGTGACATGAATAATAAATTGGACAAGAGAATTTTTTTTTTTTATCCTAACAGATAAAAAGAAAATATATACTTTGCCTGGGGTGCATTTTTTGGGCAGACTAGATGGGCCGAATGGTTCTCATCTGATTCTATGTGAATAGTGCACCATTTGTTAATTACCATTAATGTATCACAATGATGCCTGTTTAACTATTCCACGTCTAAAAAAAACATTGAACACGTTAGCATAGCTCCTTATTGAAGAAATGCAGATGAAGGATCCTTTAATGTCACTGAGGCAAGCAACCTGCACTTGTTCATCAGTTCACTATCAACCTGCCTGATTGCTATTCTCTGCCATTTCAGCTGTGGTAGACATTTCCCATGATGCCCACCCAACCAAAATATCCATGGTATACAGTGCCAGCAGTTAGCCCACAAAGTGCAGTTCTTTTAGCAAACAGCACACATTTAAAAAGCCATTTTCATGGCCATTAATTAAAAAAATTAATTGAAGAAAACTACATACACATGCCTATGGCAAAATTCTTCACATTTTCCATCCTACCAACCTGGATATTTATCTTTTGTTTGGGTAGTGATTTTGGGGCATAATCCTCACTCTTTCCTCCAGTGTCTTTTTCCACACTGCAGTGAAATAGATTATTTGCTAGGGCACTTGTTTTGTTCTGTTGTACCACTACAGAGGGGTCAGGGCTTGATTTATGAAGGATTTCTGACAATGTCACAGCAATAAAACTGTTAAAGGGTTATTCCAACCACCATGACCACATCAGTGATTTGATGTGGGTATGGTGGTAAAAGTCTGCATGTGCAATGTTTCTGCTTGAAACACTGCACGTCCATGGATAGTTCTACTCGTGTGCTGGGTGCTAGTTATACCCCCGGAAAATGTGACTTTGGCACTTCATATCTGAGAGTCAAATAGAAGCGTCAAATACTGCGGTTACAGCGGAATTGTAAACATTTGTTATTTTCTGGGTGCTAAACTGCTAAATAGTAAATTTGGAGCATGCTCTTCATATCGGAGAGTCAATTAGAAGCATCAAATAATGCGGTTACAGCGCACTCTGACAAATTCCCATTTTTTTTGCTCCTAAGAAGTACATTTGGGGTATGCACTTCATATCTGGTGTATGTGTGTAACACTGGCTAGTTAAAGCTTCAAGAAAGTCTAAAGACTTTTTTAAAAAGTGAAAAATAAGTGTTATTGTGATCGCTTCTTATACAGAAGCATTAATATACATTTCTATATTGTGAAAAGACACAACTACAAATTTAAAAACCAAACACAAAAACAACGTGCCAGACAACCTACCTGTGCATGGCTAGTCTGATACAATAAGTCTACATCTTAAAAATGAAAATACCCACAGAAGATGGGCGAGAATTTTTTTTTGCAAATGGAACTTTGATTCGCATTTACTACATCGGTCACTTGTAATATTGTTTCACACCTACAACACTTGTTAAACAGATCTAAGTGATGGAAAACAGATTGATATTTTCAACACTACAAACTACCAGATAACAAGCTGCTAGATTTAAACCAGTTAGAGGACAGTTTATAGAGAAAACGGTTGCCTGGATACAATTCTCAAACAATTTCCATATGTCCTTTGCAGACTTTACATGCTGGAAAAAACACAGGTGCCAACTGCTGTGGCTTTCTGCAGTGTGCAGACCAGCAAGGAGGGCAGGGTTGAGGAGTGGGTGGAAGATGATGTGGAGGATGATGAGGTCCTAGACCCCACATGGAATCAAGGTCATGCGAGTGACATGTGCAGTTTGGAGGAAGAGGCGCTGGTCGCACAGAGGCACCAGCACAGCATAAGAGGGAGCAGGGTGCAAAAGTGGAGTGGCCGTCCCCTAGCGCTCGTCGGCATGTATTATCTCTAGAATTCCTACAGTTATCCAAGTAACAGATGGAGCGATCAAAGGAACCATAACAGATTTAACGAGCCATTCGCAATTTCAGTCAGGGTGGCAGTCCGTTGACCGGGACCCAGACACTGTCTGGGCGGCGGTCGGATGACCGGGACCCAGTATGCCTGATGTTGAAGTTAGGAGTCACAGTGTGGAATGGATTAGCAGGGTCTGGTGTAGTTTAACCACACGCCCCCTGGTGTTGAGCACTAGCATTTGTGCAGCCACATACCAGGACCCTGATGCAGCTTCAGCGAGCAGCAGCAGGCGATAGTGGAGTTTCAGCTGCAGCACACACGGGTCAGTCGCTCTACACTAGAATTGCCTTCCAATTGATCAGAGTTAAAGGATTTCAAGTGGACTCATTACAATTTCAGGGCCTCTAAAGAGTCCTGTATTGTTATTTGTCGTCACTACCTTCCTGCGTCGGGAGTGGGTCATTTGCGCGCCTGCTGCTTTCCTTGCATGTGGTAGCCATTTCTCAGGCTCCCTCTCCGGAATCGAACCCCGATTCCCCATTACCCGTGTTCACCATGGTAGGCGCAGAAAGTGGCATTGAACGTTGATATGGATGACATACGAATGCGTCGTAGCCTTGTCGTTGGGGAGCCCATTGAAAAAGTGCTCCAGCATGACTAGCTGGGTGATCTCCTCCGGGAACTTGGCTTGATGGGAGTTGAGCCAGTTCTGGGTGGCCATTGTGATGTGGCATGCCCACTACGCATGGGAGTCCTTCTCCCCTTTCCGGGTCTCCCTAAACTTTCGGCGGTATTGCTCGAGGGTGACCAGGGCCAGGAGGATTTGGGTAGTAAAGGGATAGTCTCTGATCTGCTCTTCTGGTACAGCCCGGTAAATATCCGCTGCCTTCCCCACTAGTTTGCTGGCCAGGATGGTGACCCAGTTGCTGGGGTTCACGTCCTGGAGTAGGCAATGGTGCTCAAAGTTTTGTAAAAATTCATCGATGCCTTCTTCTGCTTCCTTGAAGTCTTTGAAGGCATTGTATGGTAGCTTGTGGGCCAGGGTGGTTGTGCTTCCCGGTGCCCTCTGCTCCCTTCTTCCTTCATCTGGGTTCATGGAGGTCGCCCTCTGTCTATTGGCAAGGACATTGTCAGCAGGACCTTTTTGGAGGTGCAAGCCTATCTCCTCTGAGGGTGGCTCTCGGTAATATGCCAGGCGCCGTTCCACCTCCTTGCGCACTTACTCCTCATCTCCGGCCCCTGGCTGGGGTTCGTTGCCTCACTGCATTCAACGTTTGACAATCCTTATTTGGGTATACAGCTTTGCCTCATGTTGCCTCCTCCTCCTCCACCGCCGCTTCCACCTACACCGCCACGGTGTATACCCAGATATATCAGAGCTGCTGCAGAAAGTGCGGGCCGTTTGTGCGCGCTTTTGGCACTCACCCTGCTGCTCGCCTGTCTGCGCTGCAGCGTAACTTCGGCCTTCCCGCTCAACGGCCCTATCACCTGTGCGAGCAGCAGCAGGCAATAGTGGAGTTTCCGCTGCAGCACGAACAAGTCAGTCGCTCTGCGGAACAGAGTTTTTTTATTTTATTTGTCCCGATATTGTGGGGGCTACCCAAATTTAAAAAAAAAACCAGAACAAATAAAAAAAACAGTGTTAGCTACCTCCTCCTCCACTGCCGCTTCCACCTACACCGCCACGGTGTATACACAGATAATCAGAGCTGCTGCAGAAAGTGCAGGCCGTCTGTGCGTGCTTTCGGCGTTCTCACCCTGCTGCTGCTCGCCTGTTGGCTATCTCCTCCTCCTACTCCACTGCTGCTTCCACCTACACCGCCACGGTCACCGCCTCCTCAACCTATGGGTCACTTAGTATAAACTATGTACACAATAGCAGAGGCTTGTGAATGCCTTTTTCTGCATGCATTAGGAATTGAGCTCAGTTTGAACAATGAAAGAATTCCCTGCACTCCAACCCTCTCTCAAATGGATAATTCTGGTGATCCTCCTGACAGCCATGCTTTAGATTTTGATTTATGCTCTTCCAAAGCTAAAATCAAAGATTCCATCTAGTGCTATTTTATGGCTCAGCTGTATTTTAAATTTTTATGTATTCTATGTTATTTTAAGTGATTTTCCTATCCACATTTGTTTGCATGTCACTTGTCCTACTCTTACCCCCATGTTACTTCCTTTTGCAGCCCTCTAGCCCTTTCCAGGACTTTTTTAGAGGCATTTTTGTGCCCAAAAGTTCGGGTCCCCATTGACTTCAAGTTCATTTTTGGCCATGAGCAAAATTATATATATTGAGTGTAAATTGTAGTTCAACAGACAAATAATTAAAATTCCAGGTTTTGTTTTGATTTTGGTTTGATGAGAACTTTTATAATTGCCTTCTTCCTTAAGGGGTTAACCATGTCAGCTACTTATTGACGCCATATTACCACTGCAGATTAATTTTATTTTCAGCTGCAAATGTAATAAGTCTATCAGTATATTGCTGCTTTAACCCTGTGTACACTGTGTGCTAAAAGCTAATAGCGAGTCAGGAATAGCTAAAATGGTTGGAGTCTATCAGTATCTTGATGCTTTAATAATGTGCACACTCTGTGCTGAGAGTTAATGGAATAGCTGACATGTTTCATAACAGCAACAATATTTAATAGAAAGCTATAGTTATCATATCAGGAGCACTACTGAAGATGAGATCATGCAAGAGAAGAAATACAGAGGGAGATTGAGAGAGAGAGAAAAAAAGAATTGGAGCATTATACAGAGATACACACTTTCTGAGTACCTCTGTATTGCAGCTCTGTGTAATCAATCACATTGATCCTGGCTGTATGGGATAATTATGTTATCTTCTTACTGCGCACAGCTCTGTGTGTTAATTCTCTGTATTTTGCTCATCTCATCTCTGCAGTCTACCCAGATACGAGTATTGTATAGGTATCTTTGTATTGTGCCCAGCTCTCTGTATTATATCTATTTTTTTCTACTCTGTTCGTGGTATGGTTATATGTGTATTGTACTCAGCTCTGTGTATTTTATAGATATAATTTATTATTGTTTTTATTGTTTGAGCATCCATGTATTATACTAAGCCCTGTATTGTATGAGTATCTATTCACTGAACATTGAGGAGTATGAGTATGTATTGTAGGGTGAGAAGTCTGGCTTCCCCAGCATCATAAAACTTCACCAGTCGCCACTGGCTAACTCATTACCATATGTTGTATGTAACTAGCTCCAGACCCCCATAGGACAATGATGGGAACATACTACATACTACTGCTATGGTTATTAATTAGGGAAATAAAATTAAAGTAAGTATGGCAATATTAACTAATGTGTGCAATGTAAACCCTTCTCAATTGTCCAAGTTTGGGTTAGAGCACTGTCTAACAGATTTGTGTACATCGGAAAAAAAAAAAAAAATCACATTTCATGCATGTGGATTTTCAGTTTGGTATTCATGAAAAATAGGGGGTTGGACATGCCATTGTCCACCACTCTAAAGGAAAGGCCACCCAATTTTCTTAATTTTTATTCTTCAGCCCCACAAAAAAACCTTAATAAAAAGTTATTATATCTCCATACTAAATGAAAAAACCTGAACTGAAAAATAATATTCTGAAAAATGTTAACCCCCAATTGTCATTAATAAACCCGAACCCCATGCCCATAGTTGGGGTAAACAAAAACATGTCCTATCCATTCTTTAATTTGAAATATTCAATACCCAGGAGTGTTAATAAATCCCTTCCAGACCCAAACATCCCACACCCCATTGCCTATGGTATGGGCAGGAAGGACAGTTTAAAGTCCCCCACGGATGTGGGCTTGGAAGGTTTTTTGTATATTTCCACATTTTTTTTTTTTTTATAGAACCCCCTACATACTGGCCAATGCCAATGATAGCATGGTGGGGACCCCTAGACATGTATAGGCTCCATCGCAATGAGATGAGCAATTGCTGTCCAGTCACTAGTTTGTGTCACAGTGAGCAGTACACATCATCCTGTCTGCAGAATGGCAGGTATACCCTCCTTATACTAATGTAAGGTCTTCTTGACCATCATAACTTTTTTATTTATTTTTTCTTCATGTTTTTAATGTGGAACTTCAAATTGTGAAACATACAGAACGGCTTGTCCATTGCCTATTGCCCTAGTTTCATTTAATTTGGTTTTATTATACACCCACATAGCATTTCAGAGTTGCAGAATTCAGATGAATCGCTTGAAATTAGTGCATGGATTTACTGTTTACAGAGGTTAAGTATTACCTGCAGTCAAGACGATGAGTATTCTAACTCCACTAGGATACCTCATTAGCATTTTATTTTGCTTCCAACACATGAAATTCAACATCTGAATGTCCACTTGCTGCCTAATATATCCCATCCCTTGACAGGTTCCATTGTAACAATATAATCAATGTTATTCACTTCATCTGTCATTAGTTTTAATGTTGTGGTTGATCAGTGTAAATACTAGTATCTCAGATCCGTGTCCAAATAAACATTTAATTTTACACTAAAAGCTGCATTGCAATCTATCATCCTATACATATCCTTAATCTAAGATGTTTATTCATTTAAACAGACATTGAGTACCAGCCACTTTCACCCTGCTAACCCATATTAATCTAATTGTGTGCTCTACTGCTTGAGGCATTCCTGATTAAAAAGATGAATTACTGGCAATTTAAGTATGTCTGGAAATCAAAATACCTTAATGGAAGCAATAAGTCACTGCATATAGGAGAAAACAAAATAAATTGTCATGAATGATTTTATAGAAATCTGGATTTCAGGTCTCTTCAATTTGCTGCAAAACATATCATTGCAGTGGTCCTGTTGCTGCCTTTTATCTCTCAGACTAAAAATTAGAGTTAGAGAATAATTTTGTTCTGAGTTGAAATAGTCAGTATTTGGGCCAATCAGGTGATCATTCCAATTCCTGAGCATTAAACTGAAATGTAGCAGAATCACACACCAAAGAAAAAGCACAATGGTAGAGCATGTTCATTTTGACTCATGATTTGGAATTCCACCTGTAGCGCCAAACAAGTTATATGACTGATGACTAGTGGCTAGCGGACAATCACTAATTATTGATTTTATTTGCTGCTCAAGTAACTAATCGAGGGGAAAAAAGAGCAGAATATATATATATATATATATATATATATATATATATATAATGATTTAATGAATACAAAATTTACAATTCTTATTTTTTCACTTCTACTCTTGGTTTTACCTCTATTGGTTCCTACTTGATCTGTGAACCATCTGGTAGGAAAATGATATAAAGAATACAATCTGAAAAAAAAAAAAAAAGAACGCAATAGTGTAATATTATAGACTCCAAACAGTAACAGAGAATATATTGCACTCACCAGAGTTTCATTGATTGCAGGTTCTTAACAGTATATTTAAGGGGTTAAAGGAAAAAAGCCTTCTTTTCTTCTCCAAGATATATACATATGAATTGCATAACAAAATCACCAAAATCAATGCACAGGTCCAGTCCCACATCGTCAAGAACAAAATGATGGCAGAAAATTAAAATACTTATGTGGAAATAATAAAATAAAAAAGAATACAACTTGCGATACAAAGTTCAGCACTTATGTAGCTTTCAAAGCCCTAGGCATTTTTTAGAAAAAATGGT